CACAACTAAGTTCGAATCTTACCTCCCTCTTTATCCCTGCTAAGACACCCGTATTTTCGACTGATATATGAGATATCTAAGTTACATCAAATTTGGCATTTGAGTAGGTATATTTTGATCAGCTTATTAGAATTGCGCGTACGACCAAACAACTTAGCTCAGCTAAAAAACTAACATTAACTTAGGATAAGGTAAGAAAAGTGCTTGCTGGTAAGCAGCTAATGCTATTCACTATTCATCTTTTATCTGGAACTTTTTATCTTTCTCGTCCAGCATTGGCGTACCCGCTTGGATAAAAGGGTCCTTCTTTTGAATAACTTCCTGCAATAAATGTCTTTCGGCTTCACCTCGTACTTTTTTTTGTCATGGGTACTTATTCTTTTTTTTAAACATGCAATTGACGTGTCTCTTGAGAAGTAATGGAGACGGACTTATACACAATAGTCAGTGTTGTGAGAGATAGCGTTATTGCTGCGCGATACACTTGTAGAGACTTTTTAAGGTGCGCGTCCACTAGGCGGATCAGGCCGGAGCGGATCGCATCGCAAAAATCCGTATAGATTCGAATGGAATTGCGTCCCGTGAAAAGGTCATTACTTCCCAGGAGACACGGCAATTTCATTTTTGAAAAAAAAGAATAAGTACCTATGATAAAAAAAAAAACGAGGTGGAGCCGAAAGACATTTATTACTGGAAGTTATTCAAAGAAGGACCCTTTTATCCAAGCCGGTACGCCAATGCTGAATAGTGAATGGGAAAGATAAAAGAGGAATAGGAGTGTTGGTCAGCATCATAATAAGACGGCGCTCAGCTGGCCATCGTAAAGCTAACTCTTTTTTGTAACATAAATTACATGCACTCCTATCTGTAAATTTACACTTCTATCTGTAAATTTACACTTTTTCTGTTTAATCAGACATTACCAAACTTACCGATAATAACCTGGTTAGTTTGCAATTTTAATCAGACATTGCCAGATTCAACGACAATAACCTGGGTTAGTTTGGATTAGTTTGCAAGTTTGGTAATGTCTTCTAGAACCCATAAGTACCGATTTTGAAAAAAAAATTTGATACAGATGTTATTTATCACCTATCAAAAGATGAATGTTGAACCCTATCTCCAATCCATTTGAAATAAGTTTTTTCATATTTTCAACTTATAAGGGCCATAAGTACCCTGAAACCGTACCGATTTAAAAAAAAAAGGACACAATGTTGATACATCAAATATTAATCACCTGTCAAGAGATGAGTGGTAGCCCGATCGAAAATCATCGGGAGAAAAATAAAAACTCAATTTGAAGCAATTTTTTCATATTTTCAGCTTATAAGGGCCATAAGTGCCCTAAAACAGTACCGATTTTGAAAAAAAGGGACACAATGTTGATACATAAAGTATTAATCACCTGTCAAGAGATGAATGTGGCTCAATTTGAAGCAATTTTTTTCATATTTTCAACTTATTTATAAGGGCCATGAATACCCTAAAACCAATGACCTACAACCACAGATAGACGGATTTATAAACAAAAATATATGTTGATAACATGTCCGATTCTTTCTATCCTGTTTCGATTGAAATATTCATTTTTAGACGTTCTATTTATGTTTATAATGCCGATTTTGAAAAAAAAGGCACAATGTTGAAACATAAAGTATTAATCACCTGTCAAGAGATGAATGTGGAAGTCTATCGAAAATAATCAGAAAAAAAAATAAAAACTCAATTTGAAGCAATTTTTTTCATATTTGCAACTTATAAGGGCCATAAGTGCCCTGAACCTGTACCGATTTTGAAAAAAAGAGGAAACAATGTTGATACATAAAGTATTATCCACCTGTCAAGAGATGAATGTGGTAATCGATCGAAAATAATCAGAAAAAAATTAAAACTCAATTTGAAGCAAACTTTTTCATATTTTCAACTTATAAGGGTCATAAGTGCCCTGAACCTGTACCGATTTTGAAAAAAAAAGGACACAATGTTGATACATCAAGTATTTATCACCTGTCAAGAGGAATGTGCAACCCGATCGAAAATCATCAGAAAAAAAAAACTCAATTTGAAGCTAATTTTTTCATATTTTCAACTCATAAAGTCCATAAGTGCCCTGAAACCGTACCGATTTTGGAAAAAAACGGACAAAATGTTGATAGAGATGTTATTTATCACCTGTCAAAGGATGAATGTGGAACCCTATAGAAAATCTTCAGAAAAAAAAATCAATTTGAAGCAAATTTTTTAATATTTCCATCTCATAAGGGCCATGATTACCCTAAAACCGTACCGATTTTGGAAAATGGACACAATGTTGATAGAAATGTTTTTTATCACCTGTCAAAACTTGAATGTGGAACCCTATCGAAAATCTTCAGAAAAAAAAATCAATTTGAAGCAAATTTTTTAATATTTCCATCTCATAAGGGCCATGATTACCCTAAAACCGTACCGATTTTGGAAAATGGACACAATGTTGATAGAAATGTTTTTTATCACCTGTCAAAACTTGAATGTGGAACCCTATCGAAAATCTTCAAGAAAAATTCAATTTGAAGTTAATTTTTTAATATTTTCAACCCATAAGGGCCACGAATACCATAAAACCGTACCGATTTTGAAAAAAAATGGACACCCATCCTTGGAATGACATTTTATATTTTTCCGGAAACTTTGTTTTTAATCCGTAAACAATTTCATAAATGGCTTCATCCACAGTAATCACGACATGCATTTAATTGAAATGTTGGGCAACTTTTGAACAATAAATCAATTGACTGCTCGACAGCTCCTACATTAGTAGGAGTATGCTGGGTTATGGTGATGTGTCAATTGTGTCATACTCCCCTAACTCCCTCTCCATCAAATTCTAGGCCTGCGAGCGACGTCACTATCAGCAGCTTATCGTGATGACGTCGGCCGCAGACCTCGATGGAATGCTTGCGATTCAGGCTGTGCTAGTGAGTTGATTTTTTCGTCGATTTTAAATGTAGAAAAGGTGATTTTCGGTCTGTTCTCACAGAAGAAATTAAGTGTTCTTGGTCCTCGAGTATCCCAGTATTTGATAGTGGGGGAGTTAGGGGACTATGACACAAATGACACATCACATAATCCAGCAAAAGATTATGCTTGGTTATCCTCGCGAAAAATTGCCTATTATTAGTGCAATACAAATCCCGAACCTCTGAAACTACAATACGCATGGCAACCGCTTGTGCAGCAAAAAAGTTTTATCGATCGAGTGTTTCTGGCAGCAATTTTAACAATTATTGTCGTGTCACCAACTTAAAAAAAATATATATTATGGTGAATCGTGATTCTTTTTTCGCATTTTTGTTGTATCAGTCATGATAACAAAGGTCTTAATTGGTTGTCCCAAAAATTTCAATTTAACCGGACTAAAACTAAGGTAGATACATTAAGTAAAAATTTTAAAAAAATCCATAAAATTTAAGATTTTTTTAGAAAATGCGGGTTTTGACCAGTTATGCAAATCCAGATTGACTGGCGAACTCCAAAATCGGATCCGCCAGGTCAATTTACATGAGAATTAATTTTTTTCAAGTGGTTGTTCGAGAGTGTTATAGAGGGTGCATCCTAGACGTTGCTCGTTCTCCGACTTTCCCCTCCACCTTCTTCACAAGCTGCCTATCACTACTTTTTAATGCAAATTTCGGGTGATCGGATTCGGCTGCCCATTTTTTTCTCAGATCCGTTTCTATTTTGGTGTCTGAGGCACTTATATTTGTTATTGTCCATGCAAGTACTCCCAAGGTGTACAGGGTGCTTCAGATTCGAGCCACACCATTGGGATCTCGGAAACGGTAAGATATACAGGGTTGGTTAAATAGGGACAAAGTTGCGTAATTTGATGCTTACCAAAATGCTGCTTTGATATTTAGGATATTCCGAATACTTCCGGAGATATTCGGAAAAAACCGAAATTTTGCAAAATTGTTTTTATTTTTTCCTGACTTTATTTGGAGTGATATTCCAAAATAAATGTCACTTCATCATTGCTACCTTTTCTCCGCTACAAGGTGCTACCATCAAATTTGAAATCTAACGTTTCGACTTTGGGCCACCATCATCAACTTCATTTTTTTAAATACGGACCCTTATTTTTTATTTTAAATTTCACAAGCTTCTGATGTCCCAAAACTAATGACGTATTGCACTTATTCAAAAAAATTATATTATTGGTACTTTCCATAAGAACCAAATGTGATAGAGAGAGACAGAGAAGAGAATTTTGGTAGGAAATTACTGAAATATAGAAAAAATATTTTTTCGAATAAATGCGATACGTCATTTTGGGACATCAGAAGCACTAAAAATCTGAAATAAAAAATCCAGGTTCGTATTTAAAAAAATAGAGTTGATGATGGTGGCCCAAAGACGAAACGTCAGATTATAAATTTGATGGTAGCATATTGTAGGGAAAAAAAGTGGCTATAATGATGTGATATTTTTTTTGGAATATCACTTCAAATAAAGTCAGGAAAAAATAAAAACAATTTTGCAAAATTTCGTTTTTTTTCCGGATATCTCCGGAAGTATTCGGAATATCCTAAATATCAAAGGGGCATTTTGTTAAGCATCAAATTACGCAACTTTGCCCCCATTTAACCAACCCTGTATATCTTACCGTTTCCGAGATCCCAATGATGTGGCTCGAATCTAAAGCACCCTGTACATTGTTATTGCAGGTAACCAAACTTTTGATGCGCTTGTTTCGTGTTTGCTTTTTAATTCCGTTTTGGATATGATCTCTACTCTAGGAAATAGTTTTTTTTTTATATCTCCTTGTTGGTTTACTAGTTATTTGTAAGTCTTCCTTGACCACCCAAATCCTTAATTTCCCTCAAGTGTAATCGTTTTTAAAAGGACTTTTTGGTTTTAAAGCTAGCTTCATGCAAAAACTGTAAAGTAAACATGCAATTATTTGACATCAAAACATGCAAACAAAAATCATGCAAATATTTCCCCTCAACTATTACCCAAACTGATCCGTCCGAAGGGACATCTGACACTGATATCAGGTCCATCAACTATTATATCCAAATCATTATCTGCGAATAACCGATAATTTTCAACATTTTCAATGGCTTTTCGTTTGAAATATCGGTTATTTCCAACTTTGAAGAGAATGCCTCTGCCATGTTGTCTATTTCAGCTAAATAATTTCAAAAATCATAAATTCTAATAGGATCTTCATTAAACATAATTAAAGGCGATTCAACTGTTACTTTTGTAGAAGCCTCTTCTGCGATCAATGAAGTATGACATGAATCATTAGATTTCCTAGTAACTTATGCCGCTACTTCAGGTTCAGTCACAGTTAATATCGAAGCAACTTCAATGTTACATTCGTTACTATGGCTTCTAGGACTCGTGCATTTTACATCGCCTTTATTTATCTCTTTAGTAATGAGAGTCTCATCACTTCTTTGTATTTTTTTAACTTTTCGATTTTCGTGTTTAGGTTTTATTGTGAAAGTTTTATTTTAGTATGTACAGGGACCATAAAGGGTGATTTCAACAAATTACAGACAAGCTGAAATTTGGTAAGAGACTGTGTTTTAGGGTACTAAATACCCTCTGGAACCCCAGCGCCGAGGCGTTGAGCCCGTCACCCCAAAACCAACCCTTTAAGTCGGGTGAAATCTACCTTTTTTACATTTTTCTTAATATGTAACTCCAAAATTAAGCATTTTAGGAAAAAATGTCAGGAAAGAAAAATTGTAGAGAAGGAAATTTCCTACCAAATGCTTAGCATTTTTTTTTTCAGATGTTCAGTGGCGTAGATAAAAAGTATTTAATTGAGACGATTTTTCTAAAAACCCCATTTATTTATTTATAAAACTTTGAAACCAAGCATTTTAGGGCGAATGTCGTCACGCAAAAATTTACATAGAATTTTCTATAAAAAAGGCACTTTTTATTATAATGTATGTACAATACAATACTACAATAACACATAAGGTGTTATTGTAGTTTTGGGGGTAAACTGTTGGGTTAGAGACATAATTATGACACAAAATAAGCCAGAACGCTTATTATGCAAATAGGAAAAAAAAATGTATCTTAAAAAGAGTCTTTTTCTACGTCCACTTTTTCTGGGGTCATACAAGTAATGCCATTGCATTGGCCACATGCCATAGAACAGCTAAGACCCATTCGCTTGCATGAACAGGGTGTCCGGTTTTAATATGAAACGTCAATTTCTGAGCGAGATATAAAAAAATGAACCCCCCACTCTGAGGCTATGAGGCTCTGAGGATTTCATGAGATCCTGATTAGTGCAAACTGTATTTTGATATCTTCAACCTTTTAGCCGCTAGGGCGATTCTCGATTTTGAGCAATACTGTGAAATCTTTATAACTTTTTTAGTTATGAAAATAATTGATTTCCGTGAAAACTTTATAGAAGCACTTTTCTACACAGAATTCAGTGACGTTCTCAGTTTTTTTTTCTATTTGGCCCCGATTTCGAGATATACAAGAAGACACCCCATATATTAATAGCTCATTAGAAAGCTCTGCTTTTGCTGATTTCAATGGTACAAACTTCGATAGGTTTATCTCTAACAGTTTTCGAGAAAAAAAATCTTCGTTTTTTTTTCATAAGAAACAATGTGTTAGAGAAGGACTTTATATCTGTAAGGAAAATGAGAAAGGTCTCTTTCTAACACATTGTTTCAGGTCTCTTTCTAACACATTGTTTCTTATGACAAGAACCAGAATAAATTTTTTTCCAGAAAACTGTTAAGAGGCGGAATTTTTAAAGTTTGTAGTGCAGCGGGAAAATGCCAACTTTTTTGCGATATTGCAAAAAAGTTAGGGCCGGGATCTCAATAGCAAGTCACCCCCGAATTAAGCATAACTGCATTGTAACTACAACCCGGAGGTGACTCGCTATTGAGAAACCGACCTCAAAACTATTTTTAACTTTTGCGCGAGCTTTTATCTTCTGTCACTTTTTACTGTCACCCACAGCTGTCACCTTTGATATGTAGGGCACTTTCCAAAATTCACCGGTTTTTGAACCGGTGCGATACCGATTTAATAGTTTACTCACCAAACCGTTCCAAAATGTAGTGACTCTTCACCGGTTGAACCCGATCGTCCGTTCCAAAATTGACAGGAATGATCAGCTGTTTGAAACCGGTGAGGCACCGAATCCACCGGAAATTTTTGTCGGTTTTTTCGGTTGGAGATTTTTTGACACTTTTTTTTGACGTACATCAATTGCTTTGAATGTTATTTATGCAGTCGTTCGTTAAATTGTTGCCACACAACCAAACTTTAACACAACAAAGCGTTTCAAAATGCATCAGAAAAATCTTATAACCGGACTTACACCTAACTTTTAACGGAATTTTTTAACAGCTACCGATTTATTTAACCGGTCAATTTGTCGGTCGGTGAAATTTGGAAAGTGCCCGTATGGTATGACCAAAGGTATGACACTTCTTAAACGGAATGATTCAGCCTTCATAGGTACCTACATACCCATTTTAAGGTTAAAAATAAATTTTAGAAAAATCCCTTTAATTAAATACCTAATATCTACGTCACTGAACATCTGAAAAAAACTGATGTATATCTATTTGGTGGGAAATTTTCTTATCTACAATTTTTCTCTCTTGATATTTTTTTCCTGAAATGCTTAGTTTTTGAGTTATCAAGAAAAATGTAGAAAAATGTAAATTTCATCCCACTTAAGGGGTGGTTTTGGGGTGACGGGCTCAAAGCTGCGTCGCTGGGGTTTCAGAGGGTATTTAGTACCCTAAAACAAAGTCTCTTACCAAATTTCAGCTTGTCTCTAATTTGTTGAACGTTACCCATATAAAACAATGGATAGGCCCTGTACTATTTTGCAACATGATCAATTTATGGTTTTCAAGTATCGTGCATTTACCTTCACTTCCCTTGCCTTGCTTTGGTTTTATATTCAACATTTGATTTTGCAACATGGTAATTTTCTCGTGTTCGGTATAATTTAATTGGCAGTTCTGTACTAGTGATTTATAACGCCTTTTGGTATTTTTCCGAACACTCACAAATTTGAGCATAGGGGCGCCATCATAAGACAGAAAATAGGATTTTGATGGGGTTGTCAAAAGGACTTTAAGTTCAGGATAGGTATAACTTTGGGTGAGATTTACGAGATGACTGACTGTAGTATTGTTTATGCCTTCTGGACGGAGACGTGATTCTGCAAATTAATATAAAAATAGGTAAATGATACGAATATGTATACCTAAACAAGTACATACATAATATGATTTCGGAGCATAAAAAAAATTGATATCTAATGAAACATGCATTTAAAAAAAATAATAAATGGTGCACAGTCAAAAAGACCTCGAGGACAGCCTTTTTGACATGTGCATTCAATTCCTCAGATTTTGGAAGAAAAAAAGTTGAGCTTTGACAGGATACTCGGCTGCATACCTACGTAAGTACCTTTTTTCAAGGAAAACAATGATTTAATTTCTATGGTTCAAAAACGTGTTGGCCAGCACTCAAGCTTAAGAATGAAGTTTACTGCATAGACCAAGATTTGTTGTTTTCTTTTTTCCCTTCTAATCCAATTAGGCCTAAAAGTCTGGTGAAAATAAGCACCTCTTGGGATATTCTCGCCAGAGGATCAAGAAAACTGCAAAGAATCCGCTCGGCATCAGCTAGGATTTTTGTTAGCATTGGGGTCTAGTATAAAAGATTGGTAATTGATTAGAGAATTATTAGAATTTTTACGTACAAAGATATGGTCGATACAAGAAGCAATTTGTGATGTGAATCTAGTAGGACAGTTAATAAATGAGAGAATGCCAAAATTGCTTAGGGCTCATAGGTAGGCATTGACAATTTCACTATCACAGTCTGATATATTGATATTAATATCACCAATAAAAATCTCAATTTGATTTGCAAGATTAACATTAAAGTATATTGTGTATTTAGGTGTAAAAGTGACACATTCTCGGCCGACGGTGGAAGCTGACGTGCGAGGCGCAGCCGAGGCCGGCAAACACCAAAGGCCGATAATGTACTTTTCCTCTGAAATACATACTATTTTTTCTACGATCGCTCAGGAATAGAAAAAATGAGGAATGCTTTTGTGTTGTACCTAGATCAGCACACTGTTTTCCGTACTATTTATTATCCATTCATTCCTTAGCAACCACTTTCCCGGCCTAGGCCGTAAAAGTGATTCCCGTACTGCTGTCCATCGATTCCTTATAGCAGCCATTGAAAATACCAGAATATTGAGTTTTGTGACCTGTCAACCGCTCAGAAATTATGATATTTCTTGTCAATCGCAAAAAAAAAAAATCTAAATCTGTGATACCAAAGTATATTTAGCTCCTCGACATATCTAGCACGTATTTGTTAGAAGGACATACAGGATCATTCACTTCATGGGCAGCATCATAATTTTTGTTGGATCTAGTTTTGGCCAAAGTACAGTTTGCACACTTCCTTACAGGTTCAGAGTACTGGTTTGTTTCATGACTACCCATGCAATATCCGCATACTAATAGATTTTTGCAGTTAAAACTTTTATGGTTGAAGCCCTGACACTTGTAGCATCTGGGGACATCAGTAATATCTTGAAAAATTATGCAGCTCGGCCATTGTAAATAGACTCTTCCTAACCCAACGCACTTGTGAAAAAGCTTAGGGAAGCATTCTAGAAATATAGTTCTTTTGTATCTTCATTCTTCTCTCAACTAACTACCAAGGGCATTTAATCACCCACATAGGCGCCCCAGGCCGGCAGGGTTAACCTCGTTATGCTAGTTAGGTTTATGTTTCATTTTCCTGAATAACAAAATGATGAAAATGAGTGAGCACCGCTCACTATTAGTGCATCCTGCATTTTTTTGTACTAATTTTCTTAGTATGCAAGCATCGATAGAAGTGTTCAGTGAGTATTTCTAAGCAATAGTTTTTTAAGCATTGGTGGGGGAGGGTCGGTCCGATAGGTAGAGAGAGGCACAAAGTACTCAGAAGATACAATAGCGCAAGGTTATACTAGAGTTCAGTTAAAAAAAATAAACACTTTGTCTGATCTGTAAGCCTGGCAAATGGCAAATGCGTCTGGCCGGTGAAAAGCTGGAAAATATTTGAAAATTAAAGGCAGTTCTGAAAATTTGTCAGATGATAGTGTGCATTAGAGCAAACCCCTCAAAGCCTTGCAAGACTCTTCTGATAATTTTCATACGTTCAATTAGGACAGTTGGTGTTGCACCCGCTATGTTGGATTTTCCGAAAAAATTTTGTTGTGCTGACTTAGGTATGATTGGTTTGTAGTGCGTTTATTTTCAGAAACTTATGCGTAAGCACGTGACATCATATAGTGCGTTCGAGATGACGAAAAATTGTTCTCAGTACTCTTGTTTCCTCGTAATCACCATTCTTCAAACAACAATGCTGTGAAGCTTATTATTGTAAAATTTCAATTTTTTTCTTGGAAATTAACCAATTTTTTCACTTAGCTTTGTCCAATATACAAGATGTTTTATATCTATAATTTTTAATTGCTGAAATTTTCGGAAATTAATTGCAGAAAAACATAGTGCAAAAGATGCCCAATGCATTCATAGCCGAGAGAGGCAAAAAATAAATCAATTAAAAACTTATGAAAAGTATCTTCAAGTGCTGTTTAAATAATATAAGGATATCACAGAGTTTTGAGAGAGATCGGTATGGAAACGATATCCATATAATCCTTGTTGAAAAATAGGGTTACCTATCATTCGACTAGAATGACATTGAGAAAATGAGAAACTACGATCTCGTCTCGTTATTACCCGAAATATATTGGGTGCTCATGGAAATAAATAATCTAAAACCGCTTATCACCTGGAACCCGGGGCAACAAACCCGTTGAACAGGCTGTGTTTCACCATGGTTTTCAGCGCCGGTTTTACCACTAGGCGGACTAGGCGGCCGCCTAGGGCCCGGATGCTCAATGGGGCCCGAAATTCACTCTGAAATAAAATATCTTATTTTGGCAACCTTGCGCCCTGAGACGCACCACACCACCCGAATTACGCACACTATCGGCAACACTGTTCTGTAGCTGTGGGATTCCCAACTCAGGTAGAGTCCACCCAACCTTATGTCATGTTGCTGATGAACATCCGTTAAACGAGTAATAGATAATAGATACGAAATGTTCCACTACCCAGACAGCACACAAAGTCTTGAATATGTCTTTTCTAGGGTCTGCATTACGTCTGAACGTCTGAAGACCAAAAAAAAAGACGCCTAGAAGACGTTGTTTTGAAAATGTCCATATAAGATGTCCATATAAAATGTCGTAAATTCATATCTTTTTCTTCTTCAAGCCTAAAAGTAAATAATGATTTATATATTGAAAAGAGATCCAAAAACGAGGTCTCAAAACGCACAACGAAAATGGCACACATCAAAAAAACTAGAGTACCAAATTCGGGCCTATTTAGTGCTAATTTAGTATGAAGAAAAAAAATTTATAACTCTATTTTTAAAAAAATTACGTGCATGTGTGCCAGCTTAAGATTAAGCTGGCACACTCTAGTTGGATAAGGTCGAATCTTTGAAAATCTAGTACCTCATATTTAGTGCTAATTTAGTACATTCGTGATACGCCTAAAAAACTAACAATGATGTATTTATTACGAAATAACCACGGAAAAGTGCTAACTTAAGACTTGAATTAGCACACATACATCGAATCGACCGCGCGCGAACGGAATTCGCATGCGCATATTTAGTGCTAATTTGGTACTTCAAAAACGACGACCCGAAACTAATAAGTATCACATCAGCACAGAACTAACCCAAACTAACCAAAACTAACCCAAACTATATATATATATATATATATATATATATATATATATATATATATATATATATATATATATATATATATATATATATATATATATATATATATATATATATATAATTATCGGTTTATAACGTTCTACGTCTTCCGATTCCCGATCTCCAGCCATCTTTGTCAATCCAGGCATCCTCTTCTAAGCCTCTGTCTCTCATTTCTTCATCTACTCCACTTCTCCAGCTCCTTCTCGGTCTGCCGCGTCTTCTTCTTCCCCCTGGCTTCCACTCAATAATTTGCTTGGGTATCCTTGTATCTGCCATTCTTTGTACATGTCCAAACCAAATTAGCTGTTTGTCCTTTATATCATCTACTATTGTGTGTTTTACGTCCATAATCTCCCTTATTCTCAGATTTGTTATCCTTTCCATCTTTGACCTGCCTGCGGATCTCCTCCAAAAGTCCATTTCAGTTGCTTCCAGCATTTTTGCGGTTCTGTTCTTTAGTGGCCAGACTTCTGAGCTATATGTGACTATACTTTTGACTATGGTGTTGTATATTCTAGTTTTGTTAGTTTTGTTGATATTTTGGTCCCACAGTACACCATTTAGTAGGGATATTGCCTTGCGTCCCTGTATATTCCGGTCTTTAATTGCTTCGTCTAGGGTTCCCTCACATGAGATTTTCATGCCCAAATATTTGTATTCAGTACATTGTTTTATTTCTTGTCCGTTCTTCAATTTCAGAGTTTGCTGTTCACCTCCTATAGTCATATATTCTGTTTTAGTTAGATTTACTTCCAAACCCGATTTCTCGTATTCCTCTATCAGTTTTCGTGTCATGTACTCTAGGTCATCATAGTCCTTGCAATTACTACTTGATCATCTGCAAAGCTTAAAGTATATAAATTGTATTCATTGAGCGGTATTCCCATGTGTCTGCATTTGTTTTTCCAACCCTTAAGCGCTTGCTCTAAGTAAATTTTAAAAAGCGTTGGTGATATGCAACATCCCTGTTTAAGTCCTTTAGTTGCTATAAAGCCTTTACTGATCATGTTTCCCTGTTTAATCTTGGTCTTTGCATCACTATAGAGGGTTTTTACTGCCTTTATTAGTTCTAAATTGATATTGGTTTTTTACAGTGCTTTCCAAAGCATTTTCAGCGGAACATTGTCATATGCTTTCTTTAGATCTACAAAGAGTATATGGAGTTCTTGGTTATACGCTAGTTTCTTTTCTATTACCTGGGTCAAACTAAATAAATGGTCAACAGTTAATCTTTCTGCTCTAAAACCGGCCTGTT